GGATCATATAATTTTGCAGCATCGCTAAGCACTTCCCTTTTCGTAAGATGTTGTGCATCATAAGAGCTGACCTGATAGAAGAGTTCATCAGTGAATGGATCCCAGTGTAAGCCAAGAACAGTAGTTTCTGCCAAGTGCGAATTAAGCTGACATGGATCAGCATCGCCAAGAAGATGTGCCAAGACTTCAGCGCTATTCGATTTCCATTTCCTGAGATGGAACTGACCGTCTGCCAAAACAGATGAGACATCGGCCGCCAGTTGAATCGCCATGCCAATAGAAGGTGTACTCTTAAGGTAGTCATCTACGTAGAAATCATTCAGGATGCTGTGCAAAGCAGTTTTAGCTCGTACTTCATCTGAGAGTTTATAAGAGTTGTCTCTGCCACATTGCTGCATAGCGCGAACAGCCAAATATGCGAATGGGCTGATTGGATGATTCCCGCCAGAGGATCTGTTGCCACTGCCTGTGCCTCTCGTCAACCTTGACTTGCCTGAACATTTTCTCCACATCAGCTGTGAATGCTATTCGATGCTGCCTGAAGCGAAGCAAAAGGTTAAGTAATAAATCCTGTATTGGGGGGCCAGCGAGTTGTGTATCATTTAATGATATGCCATTCGATGTTTTTGCGGAAGCATTGAATACGACTCGGAATTTTGCCATGACTGCATGATGTGGAATGTAGTATGCCTGAGATGGGTCACCTGAATGATGCTGAATAGGGTGCATGTGACCAAGTTGTTCGTATTCGCGCATAAAAGCCACATATCTTTGCCTCAGCTCTGAGTTGGATGCCAATTTTCGTTCCAACTGGTGAAATTGCCTGAGTGCCATCTGATGTGAATTGCCAAGTGGTGGAGCATCTGGTGTAAATGGTATTTGCACGCAATAACTGCCATCATCAAAACGCTTATGTGTGCTCATGAAAATGCACTCGCAAAGATCAACTGCTGCTAGTGTATCGCCTTTAGCCATGTCAATTTCTTTGGATTCAAATAGCCTGTGTAGAAGGTCATCAACTCGCTCATCAGGCGCCTCCACACGCAATGCCATAGATTGTTCCGCCTTGTAGTTATGCACGGTTGCTTCAGCTGGTCCGAATACAACCCAGCCTAATTGCGTATTTTGTGCCACAGGATCATCAAGTTCGCCACGAACTATGCCATCTGCCAACAATTGGCCCCATATGTCTGAGCCAAGCAATGCATCTATAACACCAGTTTCGCCAAATTTCGGGTCTGCCAAAGGCAAATTGCGTAAATGCTGCCAACAGTTTTCCATGATTGGAGCCACAGGGATTGCTGAGGCAATTTTGTTGATGATGTAGAATTGAACATCCAAGCCAAATAAAGCATTGACAGTCGAAAATATGCGCAAGACTGCCCGGCCATTAGTATATGAACGATTGCCACTGCCAACGCCTTGTAATTGCAATGCACTTTTCTGCTTCCGCAGAGCCAGTTGATTAAAATATCGCGTACTCATTAGACTTACCTGAGAGCCTGGAGCGCATAGAGCTCGACACGAGTCGATATCGCCAAAGCCATTTAAGATGCGTATTTGTGCTGTTGCCAAGAGTATGACCCGATTGCCTATAGTAGCGAATGTCTGCATTGGATGGTGTAGTCACTGATGCACACGTGGTGGGATGCCAGCCTGGTTCGGTTTCGCTGGTGCCTGAGGTGTAGTTTGTGCCTGCTGTTTGGACTCTTGCAAAGGAGGAGTTTGCGCTGGTGAACTTCGGCATAGTAGAGTGTGATGCCTGCCATTGCATATGCGACAATTAGTTGAGCCACATGCCTTAGTAGAATGTCCAGGTTTCAAGCAATTGAAGCAAAGATTCGAGCCTTTAAGCAGTGTGAAGCGCTCCGCTGGTGAGCAAGCCAATAGCCTGGTGCACTTGCCTATTTGGTGCGATGCGTCATTGCAAAACTGGCAGTGGCCTGAAGTAGTTGCTATTAGGTTTGTCCTCATTAGACGTGAGCCTGGCCTTTTATAATCAGCCTGAGATGTGCCACGATATTGTAGTGTAGCGGTCTTGCCATCAGATTTTGGTTTGCTCTCCATTTCTCGCCAAACAGTGCCAACTAGACTGTGAGCTCGTGTCTCCAAAAATGCAAGCAAATCTGCCAAAGGAGGAATTTGATTAGTTGTGCGGCTCATGCCCCATGCCTGTTGCGTAATTGTTGGTAACTTGGCCACTATCATGGGTACCGCCAATGCATCCCATTGATCCACAGGTAAGTTCATTACTGCAAGTGCTCGCAAGGACTCTCGCACTGTATCAACCACCGAGAGCAACGCAGATGTTGACTCAGCCTGTGGTGGGTTGAAGCCAATTAGCCTAGCCACGTGTATTTCAGCCAACTGTTTCGGATTGTCGTATCGAGCCTTCAGTGCAGCCCATACCTCATCGTACCCGCCACTGTACATGCCTCCGACAAGTGCCACTGCATCACCATGGACTGCCTCTCGCAGTTTGCCAAGCTTGTATGCCTCTGGAAACTCTTGCGAATGTACCAATGTCTCGAATGTGTCCTTAAATGCCAGCCAATTGCGCATCGTGCCATCAAACTTGGGTACCGCCAATCGTTCCAATTTAATTGCCAAGCCTTGGGAAGATACAGCACCGCCTGCCATATTGGAAGGTGCATCCGTATTTTGTGCATCACAACGGGCCAACTCACGCCGCAATGCAACGCACGCCTCGTTATATAAGTCTTCCACCTCGTCCCACAACTTGATGTGAGACCATAATTCAGTATCATCTCTTGCCAAAGCCACCAACTCACCATGTGCAGTTTCTAGTTTTTCGAAGTGTGCCTGCAATGTTGCACGATCTTGCTGCATACCAAAGCCATCCTCAACGTAGTCATCCGCCACTATTTTTGCAGCTACCCGCTTTAATGATGACCACGCAGCCGTACGCCTATTTAGGGCAGCCATATTTTCTTCGTATAAAAACGCCAAAAAAGCCAAAAACGCAATTTAATTTAAAATAAAAACCGAAACTCCCGGGTTTCGGCACCAACAAATGTATGAAAAACAGACACGAATTTCCATACACGCAAAAGTTTATGTATTTTTTCGTTAAGGATATAGTCAATTAAATTTTATTACATTCTTATTCAAATTTTGAACTGATAAATTATTAATATCTTGTCAAGCCAAAAAAACGTGCACACACCGCCAGTAGCCAATTAAGAAGCAGGAGAAGGAAAAAGCAAAAAAGCGAAGCCAAAATTATCGCTGCCAGATGTTAGGATGCCATCGTCAAAAACTACTAAATGTGTGCTGCCATATCGCCTAGTTGCTGTGCCAAATCTCAAACACTAATCGAAAACGGTAAGTTTTCCTTACAAATTTGATGAACAGAACGAAAAGCTGATGTTGGCAAGGGTGAATTTAGTAAAATATGCGGAAGCGACCAGTACATTAGACAGTACACGCCACATTTCGAATTCAACATTAAAAGAAGAAATAAACACATTAATTTCTACGTACAATCCGGAACAAATTGAAACATCATGTGTGACAATGAGAATTAATCTCGAGAACGAAAAACCAATTTATCAAAAACCAAGAAGACTAGCACCGATGGAGAAGCAAAACGTAGATGCGCAAATAAAAGAATGGTTAGAGGAATGTATAATCCAATCGAGTTCGTCAGATTTTGCAAGTCCAGTAGTATTGGCACATAAAAGAGATGGTACCTACAGAAAATTGAATTCAGTTGTAATACGCGATAGATATCCACTACCTAATATAGAAGAGGTTTTAGAAGGACTTTATGATGCAAAGGTTTTCACAACACTAGATTTGAGAAATGGATTTTTTCATGTGGACATTGAGGAAAAAAATAGGAAATACACATCATTCGTGACACCCGATGGCCAATTTGAGTTTAAAAAGGCACCATTTGGTTTATGTAATTCTCCCTCTGCATTTCAGAGATTTATAAACACAATTTTCCAGAACGCCATAAGAGAAGGTGTAGTACTAGTATACATGGACGACTTAGTTATTCCAGCACGCAATGACGAAGATGCTATGAACAAACTGAAAATAGTTTTTAACATTTGTGAAAAAAATGGACTTTTAATCAAGTGGAATAAGTGTACGTTTTTAAGTAAAAGTATTGAGTTTTTGGGACACAATATTGAAAATGGTTCTGTCCGTCCCTCCGAAGAGAAAACAAAAACAGTCAAGAATTTTCCAAAACCAAAGGACTTACGTGGGGTTATGAGCTTTTTAGGATTAACCGGATTTTTCCGTAAGTTCATGAAAGATTATGCAATTCTAGCAAAGCCGTTAACGGACCTAACCAGGAAAAATGCTACGTTCAAATGGGACTCTGCTGAAGAAAATGCATTCGTTGCTCTGAAGAGTCAACTCTGTGACAACTCAGTTTTAAAACTTTTTAACCCCAAACTACAAACTCAGTTACATACTGATGCAAGCAAGGAGGGATATGGCGCTATATTGATGCAAAGACACAATTTAAATTATCATCCGGTATTTTATTTAAGCTATAAAACGAAAGCTGCTGAAAAAAATTATTGTAGCTACGACCTTGAAGTTTTGGCAATAATTAAGGCGTTGAAAAGGTTCAGAATTTATTTACTCGGGTTAAAATTTGAAATATTTACAGATTGCAAGGCGTTTCAATTAACAATGGCAAAGAAGGCACTGAACATTAGAGTTGCTGCGTGGGCTATGCAGATATCAGAGTTTTATTGTAAAGTATGTCATCGATCCGGCAATGCAATGCGACACGTGGATGCATTAAGCAGATATCCAACTGTATACAGATTAGAAGACAGCATTATACACATGGTTAGAACAGCACAATTAAAAGCTGAGTCATGCCAGATTATCAGTCGTTTGCTGAAAAATGAACCGTATGAAAATTTTCAACTACGTTGCGGTGTTCTATATAAATTTAATGAAGGCAGACACTTGTTAGTTGTACCAAAATCAATGAATAAAGAAATAATTCTGAAAATACATGAGAAGGGACATTGGAGCGCGGATAAAGTAGTAGCGGTATTAAATCAAGAGTACTATATTCCGAAAGCTAAAAAGTATGCTGCAAGAATAATTGCAAACTGTGTGACCTGCATTCTTGCTTCTAAAAAAATGGGAAAGCAGGAAGGATTCCTTAACCCAATAGATAAAACTATCATGTAAGTAAGTTACAAAAAATAATCAATTCCACAGTAATAAGGAGTACGAAGAGAAGCTTCTATTTGGTTTTAAAATGTTCACACCGGAGGACTTAGAATTAAATAGCATGATTGAAGAAGCAATTATTAGTGATTTTGAACATAAAAGAAAAGAGATGCGTGACAGCGCAAAGCAACAAATCCTTAAGATACAAGATGAAAACCGAAATCAATATGGTAAAAGACGTAAATTGGCAACAATATACAGGTTGGGTGATCTAGTAGCTATTCAACGCACTCAGTTCGGAGTTGGTCAAAAGTGCTGTCCAAAATATCTCGGTCCATATGAGGTGACGAAGGTGAAGCAAAATGAAAGATACGATGTAAGGAAAGTAGGTGATCATGAGGGTCCAAATACAACATCGACAGCTGCAGATTATATGAAAAGATGGGCGACTTATGAAGATAGTGAAAGTGAGTCGTCTGGGACAGACGACATTCAGGATGGCCGATTGCAAACAGTGAAGTATGCACTCAAACGAGTTTGCATGCAGAGGGCTAGCGGCGAGTATTGAGTACAAGAGAAGAGTAGTCGTCGCTAAGCTGGTGAACTTGCAAGAGGTTAAGCGGATGCATTTTGCAAGAAGTTAAGCCGATGTTATATTTCCGTGGTATATATTTTTCGATTTGAATTGATTAAAATTTCATTGAAAAGTTTTGATATATTAATAAATAATTTCTAATTTTGTAAGCTTTGTGAAACCAGCTTTTGATATATTAATAAATAATTTCTAATTTTGTAAGCTTTGTGATATATTAATAAATAATTTCTACATATACATGAAATGGATATTTTTGCTTAACACTTTCTGAAAATGGAGGAGTTGATTCCCAGGCAGACATTTAGATACATGAGTTGAAATGCGCTACTGCTTCAGTCACATCAAATTCAATTTTTAACTGGACTTCGGTATTTAAACCAATTGTAATTAGTTCATGATAACTGTTCCAATCAGTATTTTTGTTATGAAGAATATATTTTTCCATAATTTCACAAGAGTCATTGAGAGTGATTATTATTGGCGAGTGGTCATATGACAAGTCGAAATTGGACTTAC